AACATTTAATCTACTACATTACCAATTCATGACACAGTAGACTGTGTGCTTAGCTAATGGGCTCAGAGTGAGCAAGTGGATGTGGACCTTGTCCCTTTGATCCTGCCGGTCTAGGGAGCCCTCAGGAGAGTTCACAGTTTCAAGATGGTTTGTGTGCTGAGGCAGTTGGTAGATGGAGCCCCTTCCCAGCACCAAAACCACAGAGCAGTAATAAAAGACCCTCACGCTTCATCATCAGGGATCGCTCATTTTGTCCTCTTCTTCTCATCAAAGTTATTACTGCTCATTCTTGCACGCATTATGAATACCAGTCTGCTCTGTAAACTTGACCTTAAATCATAACAATTATGGTATAAGATCACTATTGTGAAAAGCTAGTGAAAGGGGAAGAGTTTGCACAGAGATGGAAATCCATCTTGGAGGGATAGGAATGGTGAGAAAGAGGAGTAAAAACTAATACATTAAGTTGAGTAAAGGATAAGGCAGTTTACAATAAGGGGTGGATTAGACATTGTAATTCATGAATTACATTAAGTAATGACAATATTTAAAACCAAATGTCTTTGAATCATCACATGAGAAATCAGTACGATTTATAAAATCTTTACTTAAATAAAAAGAAATGAAACCATACATAAAATGAAAAAGAATAATTTTTAAAATACATAAAAAGATGTGGTAGAAAGTCAGGGTTCTAAGATTTTGTTAAGGTTTCTTGTTAAACAGGTGTCTTTTTTCTTTAATTCTTTTAAGAACAAAAGTAAAAAGTCATTAGTAACCCCTGGCTATTGAAGGTCAGTCATTCCTTTCCAGGAGTGGTGCAGTGACTAAAGCACTTGGCTATTAGTGAAAAGGTTGATGGTTCAAACCCATCAACCATTGCTTGGGAGAATGTCATCTTCCACCTTGGGAGCCATAAGAAGCAGTTCTGCTCTGTCCTAGGGTGCTGCTGGGACTCGACGGCAGTAGATTTAGAGTTTCGTTTCATTCTTCCTGAACACTGGACTTTAAAATCCCCCCTGGTTTGAAAACCACTAGAACCTACACAGGACAGGTACAAATGAAAGCTGGTCACTGGTCACTCTCTGCAGGTTCTTTGGAAGGAAAATCTGCAAATGTCTGAGAGAACATGTTAATGGTGCAGCTAGGCAGGAAGAAGAGGCAAGCTATGTCTAGAAGGCGATACTGAGGCAGGCTGATCACTTGGAGGGAGAGGGATGGCCAAGGTGGCTGCAGAGCCAGGCCAGGAGCATGCAAGCACTTGTCCTGTGTCACCTCCAATGTGGAGAGGATGCTGGGTTGCAGCACCCACCAAGATTTGGCTGAAACACTTAAGTAATTTCTCGGTATTTGTGTTGTATTGGTGATATAATACAACTGTATTAGGGGCATTTGTATTATGTCACCAATAGATTTAAATTTGAGTATTTAAACATCAAGTAGGAGGCTACTTTAAAGAAATCTATTTCTTTTCATAATATCAAAAAGCCCCAGACAGAACCTTTGCTCTCGAGATGATTCAGCCGGTACCCAAGGCTGTAGGTCTTAACAGGAGCTGACTGCTTCATCTTTGTCCCAAGGAGCATTTGGTGGCTTCAAATCATTAACCCTTTGGTTGGCTCTAAAGCCACAAAGGCGACTTCATTTTTGTAATAAATAGCAGGACAGTAGATCACATGGATTGTCGTGCTCTGAGTGCCTCCAAAGTGTATGAGATTTGAAACTGTGGACACTGCCCTCCCATGTGGACTGTGCAGGGACCTGAGACCACTATCCTAAGGTCCACCTGCTCTGGACACCTTGGATGGTTTACACCATGGGAGCGGTGAGTTCAGAGCTACAGAGTAAGCTGCTTAGGGACAGTGAGGCTGGGGGAGAGGATTTGAGGGAGGGAGGGCAGTGGAGTGTCTAAGCAAACAGAGCCCCAGCTGTTGCAAGGCAGCACTAACTCCTGGTGAGCCCCTGTGTCAGAGCAGAGCTGTGCCTTGTGGGGTTTCCAGTGGCTGTGACTTTTCAGAAATAGATTGCCAGGCCTCTCCTCTCAGGTGCTTCTGGGTGAACGCAAACCACTGATGTTTTTCATATGGCAGTGAAGCACTTTACCATTGCAGCACCTGAGGGTTTCTGAGATATATCTCTGCAAAAATAATTTCTGACCAGTTAATTCTGATTTGTAGTCTGGTGGTCTAGTGGCGAGAAGCTGCACTGCAGCCCCTAACGCACTCAGTTCAAGGCCGACAGCTGTTCCATGGGAGGAGGGTGGTCAGTCTCCTCCTGTACAAATAACTGCCTCTGAAAACCTATCAGAGGGACAGCTGTGGGTCGGTTCTGACTCTACAGTACACATCAAAAACAGTGACCCTGGAGGTCAGAGTGGAAGTACCCGGTAGAGTCGCTCCAACTGTAAATCTTTATGGAAGCAGACTGCGTTATCTTTCTCTCTGAGATCAGCTGGTGGGCTAAAGCTGTTTGGTTAGCAGCCAGACACTTTTAACCACTGCATCAGTAGGGCCACTTTGGAGGAATGCCTGAAAAGAAAAACATAAACACCTCAAACTCTTATTACCGGCTTAGTTCCAACTCAGCTATAAACCATAATGGGCAGGGCCATCCCTCTTTCTCCTTTGGAGCCCCTGGAGGATTTGAACCACAGGAGACTTGGGGCCTTTGGGTTAGAAGCACAGCTCATTAAGGTTTCAGCCAAAATGAAGACATTAGAGTTCTTGTGGCATATTTGTGAAACAGAAATAACCATGTCTTCTATTTCTATATTGTGTTTAATTTACAAAACCTCTTGAAGTAGAGCTCTTCATCCCCATGTAATCCTGTGAGGCTGGCAGGCGGGTTCCTCCTCATCGTTATGTTCGGTGTGCTGGCAGAGCCTGGGTGGCACTAGAGTGCCTGCACGCTGACCCCCAGACTAAACCTGACTGAAGTTCGACTAGAGCCTGGTTCTCTGGGGTCAGGGTTGGAGAAGTGCATACACAGTGGGTTGTGGGTGGCCTTGAATGCCACACAGCGATGCCTCGACTGTCCTCAGGATCACCGGTGAAGCCTTGGGAACAGAGAGGATGCCACCTCAATCTGAACTTTGGCGGGAATTTTGTAGGTCTTGGAGTAGGGGAACACTGGTGGCCGTAAAGCCAGTTAGGGGTGACTGCTGTATCCAAATTAAGAGTGGACTTGTAAGGTTTTTGTTGGTTGAGCTTTTTGTTCCCAGAGAAACTAGGAAGAAACCTTTACTGCACAAGGCTTAAGTGCTGAACCACTAACTGGAAGGTGAGCAGTTTGAACCCACCAGCCCTGACGAGCTGTTCTTGGAAAGATTTCTGTGAAGACCCACTAACTCCAGGATCTTCTAGGACAGTCCAGAACTGCCCCATAGTGTCCGCAAGGCTGTGAGTCTTCATGGAAGCTGACTGCCACATCTTTCTCCTCTGGAGCAGCTGATAGATTCAAGCCTTTCCAGTTAGTACAGCCAGTGCTTAATACACAGCATCACCAAAATTCTATTTCCTAAAGGTCACAGCTTAGGAAACCCTGCACAACTGTGATCAGTCATACGGGGTCATAATTAGTCACAGTGAACCCAGCATAACCTGGGATACATGTAAATCATAGCAAGTGATCAATACATATTTGCACCAATGTAGTAAAGCTTACAAAAACAGCAGCCCACTGATAATAAAATGTGTCTGAAAGAACATGCCCACTTCAGATATCACAGCATCTCTCTGTCATCCATAAAGGCTAGTTCTAAAAAACCCAGATTTCATGGATTTTAGAGAGAGAGAAAGGACCTTCAAAGGAACAACTTCAATTCTCTGGTTTTATGAGTAAACGCTGAGACATTAATAATAGACTTTTCATGGCCACATGGACTTGAACAGAAATTGAATGATATCAACAAGCATTCCATGATGCCGTTTCTGTATACACGTAATTAGTCTTGGGGAGAAAATATCTTTACAACTGAATACTCTGATTCAAAGCCAGTCTTCTATAGATGAAGAAGCCCTGCTGGTTATGTACTGGGCTGCTGATGGAAAGGCTGGCAGTTCAAACTCACCAGCTACTCTGGGAGTGAAAGCTCAAGCTGTCTCTCTTCTCTTAAGACTTAAAAGCTGCGGGATCCTGGTGGACGATCAACATAAATCGATTCCCCACTAGTGGGCTGGGTTTTTCCCTTTTATAGATGAGAAATGTTTGTTTTCTTGAGTTTTCCATGTCTTACCTTGAATTCCCCCATACATGTTTCTTCCAAGAATTAATCAAAATACAGATGTAATGTCTCTAACTAATGGCTTTTTTTTACTATTTACATTTAGAGCAAAAAGCATGAGTTTTATTTTCTCATATCCATGAAATATATTTGCTATTTTGAGAATAAATACAGAAAAACATCTAAGGAAGATTTTGGTCAAAAACTGTGACTTTGTTAAGCAAGGACTTAGCCATTGACTTTCAACCAGCTGTCATCATTGGCAGGGGCCCTGGTGGCACAGTGGTTAAGTGCTTGGGTGTTCAACCATAAGGTTGGTAGTTTGGATCCACCAGCCAGTGTCTGCTACTAAACAGTGTTGGTGGTGGTGGTGGTGGTCCTGTTAGGACAGTTCTAACTTGTTGCTGTTTGATGCTATGAAGTCAACTCTGACCACTGTGTATAGTACTGCCTTCCCCTGTGCCATTCTATCTGTTGGTGCTGTGTCCAAGCCCTTCTTCAGCCGCTCTACCAGCCCATCTCATTGAGGGCTGCCTCCTTTTTTTTGTAACTCTGCTTTACCAAACGTGCTGTCCTTCTCCAGGAGCTGGCCCTTCTGACACACCATGCCCACAGTGTGAGAATGGAGTCTTGACTTTGCTTCTGAGGAGCATTCTGATGATACTTCATCTGAGACAGATTTGTTTGCTCTCAGTGCCCACAGTTTGGACAGTCACCACTAGCCGGAAGGTGTCGTAAAGCCATATTGTAATGACTAACTTTTTCCCTTTGTTTTCAGGTCTGACTTCTGTTCTGTAAGTGGAAAACCCTTTATCCTAACTCCTGAGAGCAGAGTGGGAAACAAAATTGAAAGCATCACTCAGCGCATGTCAGTAATCGAAGGGAAGAATAAGGTATTGTTTATAAAAATAAGCACTGAGGTTATTATCCTAACAATACACTGTTAACTCCTGTCTTTGCATTTAATGGTACCAAGAATAAGCAAATGTACACACAAAGATTCATAGCAGAGAGCTGGTATCTGAAAGATCATGGAGAGTACGTTGGAAAGACTCGAGCTGCTACTCAGACCAAGTGACCACCAGTTCTAGACTTTGCTTCATGCTGTCAGAGAGTCAATTCTACCTCACAGTGACCCCATGTGATAGATTAGAATTGCCCTACAGAGTGTTGTAGGTCGTCTTTGTGGGAGCAGACCACCAGATCTTTTTCCCATTGAGTCGCTGAATGGGCTTGATCCATTGACCTTTTGGATAGCAGCCAGCCACTTAACTACTAAGCCACAAGAGCTTCTTAAAGTAATGACTGTCATTCCTAATGAGGTAAAGCTGTTTCTTGGACATAGAATGGTCCACACTAGCAGTGCTCAGCCCTGGCTACGTATTAGAAGACTCATTTGTTGTTATTGGCTGTCGTTGAGTTGATTCTGACTCATCACAGCCCCATGTGACAGAGTATAACTGTCCCTTAGGGCTTTTTAGGCTGTAATCCAATAAGTAACATCAGGATAAGTGGAGAAAATAGTGAAGTTGTCAAGATTTCATTTTTTGTGGATTCACAGTCTGCACCTATGGAAGAAGCAGAAATCAAACACTGTATCATGTTGGTAGAATCTGCTGTCAAAATACTTAAAACGTTGTTTCCCTCTGCTGACTGCATCACTTCATGTGCATGTGAAAGCTGGATGATAAGGAAAACAGAAGAGCGGATTTTTTTTGAATGCTGATGTTGGCAAAGGATACTGAATACACAATAGACTGCCAGAAGAGAGAATGGCCAAGTACTTGAGGGGAACCGGGCCTTGGAAAAGAACATCATACTTAGTAAAGTAGAAGGTCAGTGACAGAAAGACCTTCAGCAAGATGGGCTCATACAGTGGGTACAGAAATGATTTTATTAAACATAGCAGTGATTTTGAAGCTGGCACAGGACAGGGCAGTATTTTGTTCTCTGTACATGAGGTTGCTATGGGTCAGAACCGTCTTATCAACCACCACCCTTACAGAAGCAGATTGTTAGTTCTTTCTCTTGAAGAGCCCTTGGGTGGGTTCGAACCACCAGCTTTAGGGTTAGCATCTGAGTGCTTAATCATGGTGCTACCAGGTTTCCAATCAGTTATTGTTCATCCGAATCACAGAAGAGCGGCTTCAGTGATTCTGATGTGTGAACTGGACTGAGAATCACTGACAAAGTGGTGAGACAAGCAAAGCCATAAAAATGACCAGGCTTTCTGGTCTTATAGAGACAAGTGGACCTCCAATATTGTGGTCCTTGGGCATCCTTTATCCTTAGAACCAAACTCGCCCGCAGGCTCTCTTTTTAACTAAGCGCCACTCTGGGGAGATACCACTCTTTAGAACAGTCACTCAGTCAAGAGCAAAAAGGCAGTATTTGCCCAGGGATAAAGCTAGGAATGCAGCATGGGATAAGAGAAGAGGAGGGATAGAAACAGGAAACACATTGTTATATTTTGAGAATTGCAGTCAGTGTCACAAAACAAAATGTATATGTACTGTTGCGTGGGACACTAAGTGGCTCTATATACTTTCGCTCAAATCACCATACAAAGTTAGGAAAAGGCAACCTGGACACAGACCAAGATAGTTACAGCTTCCGCCTCCTCTCCTCCCAAAATGGTTAGGTTATGGTGTGTTTTTTTTTTTTAAATCTGCTGTTGTCAAACACAGAAATAATAGTTTACACAAAAAACAACATAAGTAATAAGTAACTCCTTGATGAAACATCTATTTCTGCCTGCATATCTTTTTTGATACAAACTTCGGGAATATTATTGTTAGGTGCTGTTGGGCCCACTCATGACTAGTAAGTAGTGTAGTTAGTTTCAAACTAACAGCAGTTTGAAACCTTACTTTTTACTATTCATAGAGTTGTTGAGGGCCTGATCTTTCAGAAGTGGGCGGCCAGGCCTGCTTCCTAGTCTGCCCTAATCTCGAAGCTCTGCTGGGCTCCTACTGGCACTTTAAATTTAGAGGCATAGCTTCTAGCATCACAACAGCAGGCAAGCCACTGCAGTACAACACTGGGGAGATGCATATAGAAGGTCAGCTAGCTGCTGGGTCAGGTCCAAAGGACATAAGTAGCAAGCAAAAGCAGGGTCTAGATAAGGAGAAAGTCTAATCTAAACCACCATTTGATGATGCAGATTCTTAAGTGCTTTGCTGCCAAATAAAAGGCCCGATGGTTCAGATCCACCCAGTGGCTCCCCAGAAGAAATGCCTGGTGTTCTGCTCCTGTAAAGATGACAGCCTAGGAGACTCTGTGGGGCACGTCTGCTAAGTGGAAGGGTTTACATGAGTCAGACTGACTCCTTGGCACCCAAAAACAGCATCTTCCTTGAGTCGGAACCAAGCCTTCAGAGGGTTTTCAGAGGCAGTAAATGGCACAGGAGGAGATTGTCCATTTTTCTCCTGTGGAGCAGCAGCCAGTAACTACGAACCATGTACCTTTGTGTTGGCAATGCAGTTGCTTACCACTAAGTCACCACAGCTCCCTATTTGGAGTAGGACTGGGAATACAGATGCCACCTTCAACTTGAGTGAGGATGTACCTACATTAGTTGATGAGCTGCGTTCTTGGCATCTGGAAATGACAAAATGAGTCTCCTCATTCTCCTCCTGGGATTGAACTGTAACAAATAACAGCTGTATTTTTCATTGCGGGCAACTTTTGATATCCACTGTAGTCAGGATCATCCTTCAGCAGGTTAGAGTGGTCCTCTGCATCTTAAAGATAAGGAAAACCAAGACGATGAATTTCTCGGGGTACACAGCTTAGAAGTCGTCAGTTTGGAGCTCACACGAGAATCTTGTAGTCCAATCCCACTCCTGGGAACCTAGCAGGAATCCATGAAAATGGTGATGGCTAGAGTAGAATCATGCTCCCTTGTCAAGGATTCTGAGTGCTCACGACACAGTTTGCAGCGTGCTGGGCTGCTAACCAAAAGTTTGGTAATTGGAATCCACGAGCCACTCTTAGGGAGAAAGGTGGGCAGTCTGCTCCCACAAAGATTTACAGCCTTGCTTCATGGATGTGAGTCAGAATCAACTCAGCAGCAGTGGTTTTGGTTTTTTCCACTTTTTCCATCACAAGGTAAGGAGTCCTAGTGTATTTTGTAGAGTGTTATTTGTGGGGCTGCTACATGGAAATTTGGCAGTTCAAATCCACAAGCTGCATCCTCCTCCGAGTTCCTGTCTCTTTAATATAAGCTCACTTTCTGCTAAGTTTCCATTTCTGATCTTTCAGGTTGCTGTTGCTGGTTTGATCCTATGTAGATAGTTATAAGAAGAACATAATGCTCAAGAGCATAAACAAAAAAGACCTTTTCTACTGATTTAGGCAAACTATTGTTTGGTTTGAAGAAGACTTGAAATGATATGTTTGTTTTAAGTTTAAAATTACCTCAGAGCGATAGTTTCAGGGCTTCAACCCTCCATGGCTCCAGAAAGTCTCGGGTCCATGAGAATTTTAAATTCTGTTCTCTATTACCCCCTCTTTGATCAGGATTTTGCCGTGTAGTCTTTGATCACAGTGTTCTGCAGTGGTAGACAGGCATCTTCTGGTCTCATGGCTACAGTGGCAGTTTATCATGAAGGCAGTTGGTTATACATTCCATATCTTCCCTCTATTTCTCACTCTTCCTCTTCTGGTCTTGCTCCAGGCCAGTAGGGACCAACCTTTAGGCCTTGACTAGGTCTCTTTCAAGCTTTAAAGACTCTATAACAGAGATGGGACAGGTGGACTAAACACATTCATTATTAAGCCAGTATGTCCTGTGAAACCACAGCCATAAACCTCCAGGCCAGGGAACCGAATCCCACGAGGTGTTTGGTTGTACATAAGCAGCCTTAGCTGCTAGTTTTTCTTTTCTTTTTTTTTTTAAGTCCTTGTTATAAATATCTCATTTTGCTAATTCAGTCTCTACAGAGGTGCAGTCTATTAACAACAGTTACAAATAAAACGGCTGTGTAAGCTCACTCTGAATGCAATTTTTCCATCATTGTCACCTCCTTTCCCTCACTTCTACACATGGCAATTAATCCCTAATAAATACATAGAGTACATGTTAATAGCTGTAAGCAGTTTAGACTTGGGGTAAATTCTTAATTTTGTGGCCTGGATTTAAGATAATTTATTAGTTCTATTCTTAAGCATCTATTAACATTTCTCTGTGTATGTGAGAAAAGCTTCTCTTTCTTACAGTGGTGACAAATGGAAGTCCTACTGTGCATGACTTCTTCCCTTTCCAGCTAAAATGGCTGGTATTTTCTGTCCATTTTCAGAAAGAAAATGAAAGTCCTAGTGGAAATGACAGTGAGCCTTTCACATGCTGTTCCACAGGCCAGTGTGGCAGCCTCCTGCTGGACTCTTGGGGGCTTATGGGACTGGTTTAGTTGTGGTTTTTGTGGTTCCTTCAGTGGAGGGTATGTTGTGTGTTGACCAATTGATTTCAAGTCATAGTGACCCCATGTGCCAGAGTAGAACTACCCTGTAGGGTTTCCTAGACTATAATCTTGTCTTTATTTTTTTTTTAAATATTTTTGTGTTTTAGGTGAAGTTTTACACAGCAAAATTACATTTCCGTTTAATAATTCACAAATCAGTGTTCCGTGGTCTAGGTTATAGCCTGCATACTTTCTCACCATCAGCCCTCTCACTGATTCCACTTGCCTATCTTCCTTGGGTTTTTGCCTGACCCACTTCTATTCATCAGATTCCCTAGCTCCTCTTTGCCCTCTCGTCTTCAGGTTTTGTTTTAATTATTGACGTCATATTGAGTGGTTAATCAGAAGATCAGTGGTTCGAATCCACCAGTGTGCTCCTTGGGAGAAAATTCAACAGAAGTCTTGCTGTGAACCAGAACTGACTAGACTAC